CCCCAAAACCCCAAAACCCCAAAACCCCAAAACCCCAAAACCCCTATCATAATCAGAGATATTGAAAATTTTATAAACCTTTGCTCTCTTCAGGAAAACTTTCAAGTATTTACAACCCTTATAAGGTTTTAATCTCCTCTTACTTTAGTCTTGTTCTGAATAAGCTTCTAGTATATGTTGATTAATTCTCTAATGCCTAAATTACACCTCCAGTAGCTTTGAGTATAAAGAGGGTAGTCCTATTGTATCTGTTAATCTTCCCACCACAGAAGTCTCAATCGCTCTAATAACAAATCCTTACATTATCCAAAAATTCACAAGTATCAGTCCTTACCAAGGCACCTTGGCAAGTAATAAATGCTAAAAGAAGCTCTCCAGGGTCTTTAAATACCCCTGCAAATTTATTACAGAAATTTCAAGAATGTACGGTTAGGTGAAATTTGGAATGTTAGCAGCACCAGAAGTAATACTAGACAGAATCGTAAGAACCACATACCTAATGAGAATATTAATACTTATTTGTACCATCAAATGAGGATTTATCAACCAAAAACTAGTCCTAAAGGTCCAAAAATGCTTTAAAAGCCTCGAAAAGGGCCTCAAAGAATTCCAAATTATAAGAACAACTAAAAAAAATCAACTAGCCAAGTAAAATAACCAAAATTTATGGAAAGGGATAGTTCATAATAATATTATTAAGGGACCTAAGCCTGCTGAACTTTGCTCAGTTTCTTGTTTCTCTTGTTCTCACACAAGTGATCACAGGCCCTCTTCATTCCTTCAAGAGTCTTGCCAGAGAAACTTTCTAACAACTGTAGGTAAGGAATGTTATCATACTCGTACTTCCTAACAAGTCTCTTAAGAAGCTTTGTCTCTCTAATGGAGAAGGAGTCATTCAGTTTGTTTTTGATCCGATTCACCAGGAACATATGAGATTGTTTACACCCAAGAGTGTCTTTAATCATCTGTATTCCTAAGTGAGCAGCTACCTCAGATGGACTTTTGAAGCATCTAATTTCATTTAGCGTAATGAGACCTTGCTGTTCACACATTCTAAATGCTTTGAACAACTCAATGTCATCTTGCTTCCTCCATCTTGTGATTTTATGAGAAGGTTTAGACTCAGGCTTTACTTCAGATTTTATCTCAGGCTTTAAATTTGGAATAAAGTTGGTATGTTTCAAATGTTCCTCCTCATATATTCAAGCTTTGGCTTGAATCAAGGGTCCTTCGAAATTTAATTTATCAACACAAGGTTCTTGATCCTGAGTTTCATGCATGAAATTTGCTAGATAGTCTTGATGGTTGGCTTCTTCTCACTGTAGATCATCAAGATATTCCTTAAAAAGGTTGCTCTTAGGAATACTGAAATAACTTTCTTCAGCATCATTATCATCAGAAAGTCATGCTCCATTGAGTCAGAAATGCCAATTAGAGGAAGCAACCTTGAGTTGAAATGGGCTCTGCTTCACAGGCTCGATAGCGTCGGTTAATAATGTATCTGGCTTGTTAAGAGAGTCCAGGTCATGAGTCTCTTTGCTTTCAAATGCAAAATCTTCATTATTGGTAAAACTCGATTTGGTTCTAAACATGTCTAGAAGTATTTAATTTATTATTAAAATTCTTAAAAATTTCTTCTTAAATACTATCTGGTGATAAATCATTTGAGATTAAGTGAGGCATTTTAATAAGGTGTAGATGGTAGTAAATTACAGGAGTCCATTGGAATAACTCCCACCCCGCTTTTAGACTCGTTAGTTCTTTACAGATTAAGATAAAATTTATCAACATAAAGTCTTTAAAAAGCACTAGTAATTCAGAATTCTGCCAAAATTTGTAGGTGAATCATGAATTTTTGCTCACTCAAAATTGTGTGAAATTAAGCATCATTACTGTTCCAGGTCGATACTGTACTACAGTTGATCTTAAGGAATCAACAAGGTCTCAGAGAGGCAGTGTCTGTTGATGAATTATCTAATGCTAGCAGTCTTTACATTGATAATGTGAATAAATTTTTATCAACATGTCAAATCAAATCTAAAGCATGACCAATCTCAGGCTATATCTTTGCATCAACAAGCCTTGCTATAAGGTATGCTCTGCTAAAATTCTCTTAACGTCCACAAAACCTTTATTTCCATCGGATCAGATTCTGAGATATTTTCTGATAAAATTCTGACATAATTCTGAAGATTTTTTGCATTTTTCTTCAAAATCCGTCAGAATGCTATCTCTGGCTCCTAGTGCTGGGTCACTAAGCTAGTCATGATATAAGTTTATTTCAAACACTAAAAAAAATTCAGATCAGAATGAACTATTCATTATCCATCCTTACTTAATTATTAGCTTAACAGTTCAGTATTTAATGAAAACTCTGGGGTTTTGGGGTTTTGGGGTTTTGGGGTTTTGGGG